ACGCTCAGGTCGGCCAGGAGGAGGAATTCAGACCGGTTATAGGAAAGTTCACCAGCTAACGAACGCCAACGGCCTTAGACTCATCGATTTCACCGCCTCTAAGAACATGGCCATACGTAGTACCTACTTCCAGCATAGCCTCCCATATCGGTTCACCTCGAGTACACCTGGAGATCACTGCAGCAGACAGAATTGCAAATCGACCACGTTTTGATCGACTGAAGGCACTTCTCGGACATTATCGACGTCAGGACCTTTCGCGGCGCAAATATCGATTCGGATCACTACCTTCTAATGGTCAAGGTGCCCCAAAAAATTTCCGTTGCCAACTACATTCGGTTACGACGCCCGCCACGATACAATCTGGAGCGACTGAAGCTACCCGAGGTCGCAACTGAGTACGCATTGCCAGATGAGGGAGAGCTCACCAAAGCCCCTCTTGAGGACTGCGTGAGCAACGTGAAAGCAGCCATTAACAGCGCTGCTGAAGGCGCCGTTAGATTCGTGGAGCGGAACCGACGGAACGATTGGTTTGACGAAGAGTGTCAGATGGTTTTGGACGAGAAGAACGCAGCGTGGGCGGCCATGCTGCAGCAAGGAACCCGTCATAATGTGGAGTGATATAAACAGAAGCGAAGACAGCAAACCCATCTTTTCCGGGATAAGAAGCGCCGCCTGGAAAAGCTGGAGTGCGAAGAAATGGAGCAGCTGTATCGTTCTCAAGAAACACGCAAGTTCTACAAGAAACTCAACGCATCCCGCCAAAGCTTTGTGCCGCGAGCCGAAATGTGTCGAGATAAGAAAGGGGGTATCTTAACGGACGAACGTGAGGTTTTTTTTTAATTCTTTATTTAAGAATCAAGAACGTGAGGTGATTGAAAGGTGGAAGCAGCACTACGATGAACATCTGAACGGCGCAGAGGCGGAGGACCAAGACGACAGGAGGAATGGCTTCGTCGGTACAGCGGATGAGGGGGACATTCCAGCTCCCACGATAGGTGAAGTTAAGGATGCTATCAAACAGCAAAAGAACAACAAGGCAGCTGGGAAGGATGATATCGGAGCGGAACTTATCAAAATGGGCCCGGAAAAGTTGGCAACTTGTCAGCACCGACTGATAGTCAGAATCTGGGATACAGAACAGCTACCGGAGGAGTGGAAAGAGGGAGTAATATGCCCAATATACAAGAAGGGTGACAAGTTAGAATGTGAGAAACACCAAGCGATCACTATTCTTAACGCGGCCTGCAAAGTGTTTCCCTCAGATCATCTTCCACCGTCTATCGCCGCTAACAAGCAGATTTGTGGGAAGTTATCAAGCCGGTTTTGACGATCGACAACGGACCAAATCTTTACGTTGCGGCAGATTCTCCAAAAGTGTTGTAAATACAAGGCCGCTTATGATACTATTGACCGTGAAGAACTATGGAAGATTATGGACGAGAACGGTTTTCACGGGAAGCTGACCAGACTGATCAGGGCTACGATGGATAGTGTACAGTACTGCGTGAAGATATCGGATACGTTATCGGACTCGTTTGAAACTCGCAAATGACTTTGACAAGGCGATGGTCTTTCCTGCCTCCTGTTTAACATTGCGATAGAGGCTGTTATGAAACGTGCGGACGTGGAAATTGTCGGAAGAACGTTTCAAGCCATGGCGGAGTACACACCAGGCTGAAACGTGAAGCAGAGAAGGTTGGATTAAAGGTGAGTACGTCGAAGACAAAATATCTGTTAGCTGGAGGAACCGAGCGGGATAGGGCTCGCATAGGCAGAAGCGTGACAATCGACGGAGATGAGTTCGAGATGGTGGATGAATTTGTGTACCTCGGATCATTGGTGACGTCGGATATCAATTGCAGCAGAGAAATTCGTCGGCGTATTATTGCCGGAAGTCGTGCTTACTACGGACTCCACAAGACCCTAAGGTCGGGTGAACTTCACCTCCGTACTAAATGTACCATGTACAAGACGCTGATAAGACCGGTAGTTCTCTACGGGCACAAGACGTGGACGATGCTCGAGCAGGACCTGCAAGCACTGGGTGTTTTCGAACGACGAATGCTTAGGACCATCTTTGGCGGGGTATGTGAGAACGGTGTATGGAGGCGAAGGATGAACCACGAGCTGGCACAAATCTATGGCGAACCCTGTATCCAGAAAGTTGCGAAAACTGGACGGGTATGATGGGCAGGACACGTTTTAAGAATGCCGCACCACAATCCCGCAAAAATGGTGCTTTCCTCGAATCCGGCCGGTACAAGACGAAGAGGTGGTTAGACCAAGTGGAACAGTATCTTGGAAGTGTGGGACGGTCAAGAAATTGGATACAAGCAGCCACGGAGCGAGTGAATTGGCGTAACATTGTGATGCAGGTGCAATCCTGAGGGATGTCGGACCAGGATAAGTAAGTAAGTCATAATAAAGAAATTGAACAGATTATTTTACAGAGTTTTGTAAACCAGAAACAGATTTTAAAAAAATTGGTGAAAGTACAGATTTAATTTGGGAAACATATGGCAACACAGACTGTATGTCATAAGATTCATTTTCCACAGTCAGTTGCTCACATGCAGTCCAATGAACCACAACATTTTGTCAATTCTCATATCTGCATCAATACCACTAATTGGGTTTCGAATCACAATCATAATATGGGCCCTTAATCGGTGGAAAAACGCGCCCAACATCTCGGTGGGCATGGCCCTAGAACACCCATACATACATATAGCAAACAAACCTTTATCGTCCAATTCCACCTAATGAGTCTAAAATTATACTTTTCTAGCTCGTTTCTATACTTATTGTTATTAGGGTAAAACTAAACATCACAGAAGAAAATGGAACCAGATGCCCACCCGGCGATAAGGATCCATCCGAATGTGAAAGGCAGGGAATGTTAGAACAGGAAAAATGAAAACAAGAAGCCAAGAATCCCTTTGTGTCATCAGCAACCTAATCAACTGAAATTAATTATGAAAAGGCTGATTATGGTCTGTTGATAGCACCTCTATGGTAGCATTCTGGCTTTTCGTTTCCATTTATCTCATAAAAGGAACGATTGCGCCGCGTGGAAGACATTGATGGTCGTGGGACGAATGTGAAATGTGCAAATAAAATTTGCAATTATTGCCTCGCTACAGTGGCATTGTTGGCCGGTAGAATTGTGGCTAGCATTGATGGACAGCCGCATTTATTTGTGATTGATTAGTAGAAAATTGCTTTAATCGAGTATTTCCCATTTGCCGTTGAGTAACGTTCACATTTGTAGACTGGAGTAAGCAATAATTAACAATTTTTTCATTCTTATTTCTTTCAGGTACGTTAAATGGTTGAATCCTTTGGCAGTGAGTATATCGTTCGTATATCTGTTGCTTATGAGGTGGAAAGATTCCACTTAATTTATTCGCATTTTGCAAACCACTGAACCGAATAAAAACTGTTTATAAAAATAGCAAGGAAACTACTATAGAATGGAAGCCAGGAGAAATACAGGATCTCATTTATTGTTAACGCATATCTCTTCCGATAGAAATAAGTTAATGAAAACAAAGCTCGAAATTGTGAACATCAAAAGGAAATCATTTAACCTAATCCCCTTTTTTTTAGCATATGAGAGCTTTCCTCCCCACCATGACTTCGATATTATATGGTAGGCAGTAGGCCCTTGCTTTACCGGGGAAGGCTCTGAAATACTACACTGAAAATATTTTTCGATAATATTGTTAAGCTCGTTTCGTAAAAACGGCTTTCTTTATGTACGAAACTAAGGTCTAACTTTCGTACGAAACTAAGATCTAACTTTTTTCCTAAAGTTACATTTTGTTATATTTATACAATGCACGCATTTTAAATTTTAAATTTTGAATATACGAAAGATTCATACTTTTTATATAATACCGAAAATTTCTAATTTGTTGTACGAAACATTCGTTCCAATATGACATTAAATCAGTAGCGAGTGTGACAGTTTTAACGAAATTAGTTTCGTAAAGTGTACGAAACTCTTTCGTTGCAAATAACGACGAATGGATCCGTAGAACTAACGAGCGATTTTGTTGTATAAACGAAATATTATTTTCAGTGTACTTGAAATATCAGAAAAATGCTCCACTTTGCCGAAGCCTTTTCGCAATATACCTTCTATATCCTTGCATGGAGGTGGAAGTAGGGGAATGTAAAATCCGTTTAATTACATTATCCACCAGCTTTCGAGTTCGTACAAAGTGGCCCTTGAATAGTGATGCAACGATTGCACCGATAAACCGCATGAACTTGTACAAGTGCCGATGGTAGGCTGCATTTCCATTCCCTCTTTTCAACGGAAAAGTTTGCCACAAGTACCGAAAGCCACTCTTATCGAGATGAATTTAGCTTCATTACGGCGTAGGTACGTGGTTAAATCTGAAACGATTGATTCTCGAAACCTGTATTTTTTAGATATATAAATGCTTTTATACTTATGCATGGTTTGTCAGTTATTTTTATTTTTCGATAATGATAGTTCATTATAATTTTATAATGAGATTAGAATGAACTGTAAAGACTTCAGAATCAATCAATGTGTCCGGCAGTATTAGATTCACGTAGATTATTGGTGTCAAAGTAAATAAAATAAAATTTTATTATGGAATGCCCTTTGTACACTGCCTTGGATGATTTTAGCATGATGTTTGGCTTTACAAAATATGTAAACTACAACTGCGCATTTGAAATTATACATTCAACGTCAAATTTGATGCTTGCAATGCGGTACCGTTTGGCACTGGTTTTAACTGGATCAAATTTATTTCTGCAGTACACGCTGGTAACATTCATAATTTCTGCTTCGAATCTTCTATCGCTATCTCGAGCCTTGGCTCGTTACTCCAACTCCGATATATACCCTACATCATGCACGCACGGTCGAACGTATTCTCCAAAGCCATAAACATCAATCCGAAACGAACCGTTCGGAAATTAATTTACATATCATTTACATTTATTTGTTTACACAGTTCACACACAGAGACGCATAACGAGTGCTTGCTCCAGGGCTTCCTTTCTTGACAAAACGGTAAGCCCATGCGTGTCTTAGATGATCTTTTTGTTTCAATGTGATAGCACAATCCTCACGGCAGCAATCAGTGACGCGTACGAAATACAATTGACCCACATAAATCCACTAACGAGTGTCATGGTGGCATTTCAGGATAGAAATTCCCAAGATATGACTTGCACGATAGGACCTTTGTCGCATAGCAACCAACATGGCCTACGCTAGGTGTATCATTCACACAGCGGGAGCCGGAGAAGGATTTTTCAACAGAAATTCAATTTTCTCGCTTTAGCCGTGCCATACCCTTTTTTCCAATACGCAGCATCACGTTCCGGGCCTCGCAGTTGCGACGAGTCCGTCTTTGTGATAGTGAGATTGGAGGTGGGAGCTGATATGACGCGGTTGCTCATGATCACCGAAAGGAAATTAGGTTCAACGCGACAACAACGCCAACCGGAACGCACGTCTTTTATCACGTTGCTCTTTCGACCGACCGGGGATTGAATTGTGTGACATGACGCAACCTATCTTCGAAAACACTTTAACTCTGTGAAGGTGTCAACGCTGACTATTCTGGTCGACACCAGCTGGCAACCGGAAGTGTTGAGCACTTGGCTATTATCAGTTTAGGGACTGTCCATTTTCAAGTGGTACCACTGATACCATTTCCAAATGAATTTGAAGGCGTGAGTTAAATGCTGACTTGTGTGGAATCCTTCCTAATATCAAGGAAAAGTCGAGCACAACCTATCTTATAAACATTTGATGCATTAATCAGATAAACTCAACATGTAGTATGTAGTCAAAGTTCAGAGCTCGTGAAAAAAAAACGAAAAACGTGTAAACACTTTGTTGTTGAGCTTTCATGCTCTTCAATGGAGACGAATGGTTGTTTTCTAAATATTTAAGACTGTTCATTTTATTGTGTGGTTCCAAATTGTGCGGTTTGCTTTCGTCTTGAACATACTTTGTCCACAGGGTGGAGAGGTGCTCCAAAATGGCAAATTAAAAAAAACTTATTTCCTAGAACCTGATATTTTAATGTTAGCCATAAACAGGGTTGCTTCCACTCACTTGCTTTAAAATAATATTTTTCGGAATTATGAAATCATTAGATAATATAGAGCATTTCCAGCCCAAAACGCAAACTGGTTGAACATGAGTGTTTCCGATTGGAATGAAACATTACTCATATGTTTGCTGCTACCAATGGTTGAATTTTTTATTTTAATATGATGTTTTTCTTCACAGTAACTTTTGAAAATGGGCGTATTAAAAAAAAATTATTATATTTTTACAAAAAATCATAACACGAAAACTATTAATCTGACCAAGATGACATCCGAAAATAAGTTATAGAAAGTTACATTATCTTTAAGGAAAAAACATATTTAAATAAAAAAGTTAGTAAATTAATATATAAAAAACCTTAAACGTTGTTTATCTCAAAATACCTCTGTTCTATCACAATAATTTTTTTTATCAAGAAAACTGAAAAAATGTTCTAAAACTTGGTGAAGAGTTAAGGCTGGTAACTTGCTTGAAAAAAAAAACAATATTTTTTTTAAATATTTTGTACATTTTTAAAGTTTATTAAATTGCATATTTTTAGTAAAATAATAATTTATTTGAGTTTTGCGCAAAATAACTTTTTTTCCTAAGTCCTTCCGTTCTCAAGTTAATGTGAATTAATACTTTCAACATTTTATGCCATACACTGCGTCCTAGCAAGAAGAACGGTCGACTTGTTTCGCGCTCCGTTAATTTGGAAGTTTTCTCGCTATTATCTGACGTAAATAATCAGTTTTTTCTCGCTTAGTGATTCCTGGCATAATTCCCGATAAATTTATCAAAAAGTGAGTTTTTTTCTGAGAAGAAAGTGTGTTTTCGGCATCATCGGAAGGAAAATTGTTTTTGCGATTGCCAATTCGCCAACCATTTTGCGCACCATCGGTGCGTGGTCACGCATACCTGTGCACACGGATCATCGTCATCGAGTGTCAGCATCTGCCTCCACATTCAAACCGCTCATCCATCTCGTGTGTTCAGCTGAGTGCCGAGCTTCATACAAGCACACACCAACGAAGACCGCCCGCACACGCGGATCGAAGATCATCAAAGCTGCGCGTCGCTCCGCTGCTGCTGTGTAAACGCTCGGTGGTAGTAGTATAGGATTATCAGATAAGTTTTTGTTCTTGTTTCTTTCTTTCTCCCATCAGTTAAATTTTAAGTTTGTGTTTCTGTGTTTGTATTTTTTTTTTCTCGTGTATTGTGTCCGAGTAATTTTGATTATCGTTGCAGTGGTAGAGCGTTTTTCGCTCCCACTAGTACGGCAAAATGGACATTTTGTCGGAAGACGAAATGGACGTTTTGTCGGAAGATGACACCACTTTGCCACGCGATAGCAAGAAGGGTCGAAAACGTCTGTCATCCCAGAAATCAGATGATGTCATCCCTGGTTCGTCATCTCAGTCTGGTAATGGGCAGGGACAGATAAGCCCCCGATCGCGAGCCTACCCAGAAGACTCGACTGGCCCATGGGTTGTTTACTTTCAGCCCAAAAAGAAACCTTTGAATGTAATGCAAATTACTAATGATCTGACGAAGCGGTTCTCGGCCGTGACCGAAATCTCGAAGGTGAGGTACAATAAACTTCGCGTTGTCGTCTCTAACCTGAAACAAGCTAACGAGATTGCTGCCTCCCAGCTCTTTACACTCGAGTATAGAGTGTACATCCCAGCTCGTAATGTGGAGATCGAAGGTGTGGTCACCGAAGCGAGTCTGACCCCCGAGATCTTGGCGAAGCAAGCGGTTGGCCGTTTCAAAAACCCCTTGCTTCCCACGGTTGAGATACTGGAAGTCCAGAAGCTGAACTCAGTATCTTTCAGCGAGGGTAAAAAGAGCTTTACCCCCACAGACTCGTTTCGAGTGACCTTTTCTGGTTCAGCCCTTCCTCACAACATCGAGTTGGGAAAACTTCGGCTACCTGTGCGTTTGTTTGTTCCTCGGGTCATGAACTGCCAAAACTGCAAACAGTTGGGACATACGGCCTCTCACTGTGGCAGCAAGGCACGCTGTTCTAAATGCGGGGAGAAGCACGAGGATGGCGCCTGCACAGTCACTGCACCAAAATGCGTGTACTGTAAGGGAACTCCTCATGGTCTCTCATCGTGCCCGGCGTACAAACAACGCGGGGAGAAACTAGAACGCTCTCTTAAGGAGCGTTCCAGGCAGTCTTTTGCAGCAATGCTAAAGACAGCCACACCATCAACCAACGACAAAAATCCCTTTGCTGTTTTGTCTGATGACGAGTCTGACTCTGACTTGGCTGAGGAGGGAGTTTCTTTCAGTTTTCCGGAAGGTTCTGCACGGAAACGAAAACGCATCCGTTCGCGGAAAGTTGCAGATAAGGAACCCCTAATCAGCGTGCCCAAATCAAGGAGTGATGGAAAAAAGGAAGTTTCAACTCCTCCTGGTTTCCGCAGAACTGACTATAACCAGAACTTTCCATCTCTCCCGGGGACATCCAAAACCCCTGATGGCCCATTTTTAAGAACAGAAGCCCCTTCTTCATCCGGGTTGTTCTCATTTGATAAAATTGTGGACGATATTCTCAAGTACCTCAATATTTCTGATCCTCTCAAAAGCATTGTTCTGGCAATGCTTCCTTCTGTGAAGACCCTCTTGAAGCAATTGACATTGAAGTGGCCCCTCATTGCAGCAATCATTTCCTTCGATGGATAATTTTCCAAACGAGGTCGGGGATTTGATCACTGTTCTACAGTGGAATTGTCGAAGTCTCATTCCTAAATTAGATTCTTTTAAGTTTTTAATTCACAATAATGATTGTGATGCATTTGCTGTTTGTGAAACTTGGCTCTCTTCAGATATTGATCTTCCTTTTTATGATTTTAACATTATTCGACTGGATCGTGAGGATTCGCGTGGAGGAGGGGTACTTTTGGGGATCAAAAAGTGCCATTCCTTCTATAGAGTGAATCTTCCACAATTTCCAGGTATTGAAGTTGTTGCATGTCAGGCTATTATTAAAGGTAAGAGCCTTTGTATTGCTTCTGTTTATATTCCTCCTAGAGCCGTTGTTAATCGCAAACAACTTTCAGATATCTGTTCGGTACTTCCTGCTCCACGGTTGATTATGGGAGATTTGAATTCCCACGGTACAGGCTGGGGGGAACTGTATGATGACAACCGTTCTACTTTGATATATGACCTCTGCGACAGCTTTAATATGACAATTCTTAACAATGGAGAAGTAACACGTTTGGCTGGCCCATCCTCGAATGGAAGTAGATTAGACCTCACACTTTGCTCTAACTCATTATCGTTGGATTGCACGTGGAATGTGATCCAAGATCCCCACGGTAGTGATCACTTGCCGATCAAAGTTTCAGTTGCCAGTGGGTTCAATCCGTCGGAACCCGTTAACGTCGCGTACGATCTTACCCGTAATATCGATTGGACAAAGTTCAAGAATGTGATAGAAGATGCCCTAACGTCGGTAGAAGGGCTTCCACCGTTGGAGGAATATAACTTCCTCTCCAATCTGATCTTGGACAGCGCGCTTCAAGCTCAAACTCGGCCGGTTCCAGGAACGTCTTTCCGTAGGAAACCTCCTTCCCCTTGGTGGGACCAGCAATGCACTGAGGTTTATCGTAAAAAGTCCGACGCGTTTAAGCTTTTCCGGAAACGTGGAACACCCGTACATTTCGAAGCGTACTCGGCTCTTGAACGCGAACTCAAGAGCCTCATCAAAGCCAAGAAACGCGGATACTGGCGGCAATTCGTGGACGGATTATCGCGCAAAACGTCGATGAATACGCTTTGGAATGCGGCGCGAAGGATGCGTAACCGGTCTTCAAACAACGAGAGCGAGGAGTACTCCGATAGTTGGATTCTCAAGTTCGCGCGAAAAGTATGTCCTGATTCTGTGCCGGCACAGATGATTCCTCGCGAAACGACGAATTCGGTAGACGAGATCAGCCAGCCTTTTTCAATGC